TATGACGAATGTGAAATCCACATTCGCAGTTTGCAATCAATGAATGTAACAAAAGGTAGTTATGGTAATTTACTCTGTCCTGTTATTTTACAAAAGCTACCAGAGGATTTAAATTTAGATTATAATAAAAATAGAAAATCAAGTGTAGATTTTGACATTGATGAACTAATTTCATTTATTAGAAAAGAGGTAGAATGTAGAGAAGCCTCACATGTGTTGTCTAATAGTTCTAAAAAACAAAGTGTTCATTTTGAAACACAGCAACGGTCGGAGAGCCATAGTAAACATAATTATAATCGAAAGTTCTCATCTTCCTCAGCATTAGTTTCGGCATCTAACAACATATTTTGTTTGTTTTGTAATTCCAAAAATCACGAATCGAAAGATTGTTCTCTGACCATCGAAGAAAAAAAACAAACGCTGAAAGATCAATTTCGCTGTTTCCGGTGCTTAAAGAAATATCACACATCCAAAAAATGTTGGAATAAATGTATTTGCACATTATGTAAGAAACCGCATAGCGAATTAATTTGTGATAAATCAGCAATAAATAATGAGTCGAAAGAGAAAAACGATACTTTGGCATCCGTTACCGCTTCATGTGTTTCGAAACGAAAACAAAATGAAATGATCTATTTACAGACTTCTTTAGCGTATTTGATTTATGGTAATGTAAAGAAGTTGGTTAGAATTTTATTTGACTCTGGTAGCCATCGCAGTTTTTTGAAACGGGATATTTGTAATGAGTTGAACCTCAGGACCATTAAAACTGAACGGTTGCATGTTTTCGGTTTTGGAGAAAAAATTTCCAAGGGGTGTTCTTATGATTTAGTGAAAGTGAATCTTCAGAACAAAAACGATAAAAAATTAAATGTTTGCATTGAAGCATTTGTAGTAGAAAAAATAACGTGTGGGAAAATAGCCGCACCCCATGAGAAAATTAAACAATTAGCAAGGAAAAATAATATTTTTCTTTCGGATACCGGAGAAATTGCTGATATAGACATTTTGATCGGCGCCGATTTCCTACATGACGTAATCTTTGATACGTCTTTGAGGCTGGGAAAAGGGCTCGTTGCAACCGATAGTTTATTTGGTTTTGTGGTTCAAGGGAGATTCATGAATAATTGCCAATTAAGTAGGATTGTAAACAATACTATAATATCTGATGTTGATTATTCTTTGTTTTGGAACCTTGAAGGATTAGGAATAAATACTATGAACGAAGAAAATGTTGATAATAAAAGTGAATTGTTAAAAGGTTTTAATTCTGATTTGCATTTTGAAAATAATAGGTATAGTGTACGACTTCTCTGGAGACCAAATACAAAACATTTGTTAAATGATAACTTTGAGCTGGCTTCAGAGAGGTTTGACAAATTAAAGAGGAGATTTAAGAATGATAAATCCTTGTTTGAAGAATATAAAAAAGTTATAAAAACTTACGAAAATGAAGGGATAATTGAGAAAGTTAAAAACACTGATCCCCAAAATTATAAACAATGTTATTTACCTCATAGGGCGGTTATAAGAAACGATAAACTAACTAGCAAATTAAGGATTGTATTTGACGGTTCCGCGCATAAGAAAAATGAATTGTCTCTTAACGATTGTTTGTATATTGGGCCAAATTTATACCCAGATATATATGAACTTATGCTAGCGTTTCGGGAAAACAAGATTGCTTTTATAGGGGACGTTCAACAAGCTTTCTTACAAATAGGGATTAATGTAGAAGATCGAGATGTCACAAGATTTCTTTGGTCAGATGACCCCGATAATGATTCGTCTACAGTAATTTATAGATTTTGCCGCGTACTATTTGGTATCAACTGTAGCCCTTTTCTCTTAGCGGCTACTATTAAAGAGCATATTAAAAAGTTTGCAAAATCAAAGCCTCTTGCGTATGAATTACTAAATGAAAGGGTATATGTCGATGACGTCATAGGGGGAAGTGACAGTACAGATACAGCATTTCAAATAAGTTCTGATTGTGTTGAAATATTTCGGGATGCGGGCATGGTATTGAGAAAGTTTCAAACAAATGATAAAAAATTACGTGAATTATGGAAGAATGCAGGTATAGATGTTCAGAATGAAAAGGAATCGTTAGGTCAATCAGGCTTTCCATTTAAAGTTTTGGGAGTTTGTTGGGATCCTGAAAAAGATGTATTTTACTTTGAGTCCAAATATCTGTTAAAATTGATAGACACAGGGCAAATAACAAAACGATTTATTTTGAAAATCATTGGGCGTATTTTTGATCCAGTAGGATTTTTGGGACCCTTTACAATGCTTCTAAAATCTCTAGTTCAAAGCATTTGGAAAAGCGGATTGGAGTGGGATCAAGAGCTACCCTTAGATATGGAAAATCAGTGGCGCGAAATATGTAAACAATTCGGTGAACTTAATGATTTGAAAATACCGCGTTATTATTTTTTCGAAGCAGGTAACAAAGAAATTATAAGTTCACAGTTACATATCTTCTCTGACGCCAGCTTAAAGGGTTATGGTACAGTTGCCTATATCAGATCAGAAACTAGTGATGGGCATATTTCTACATGTTTTGTTTCAGCTAAAAGTAGAATTGCGCCCCTCAAAATGATTACATTACCACGACTTGAGCTACTAGGTGTCCTCCTCTCTGCTAGATTATTTCGAACTATTACTAGAGCCGTAAAAATTCCGTGTGACAGTTTCTTTTGGTGCGATTCCTCTATTGTGTGTTGTTGGATAAAAACTCCTGGCATTCGTTTTAAACAATTTGTGCATAACCGATTGGAAGAAATTAAAGAGATTACTCAACCTAAGGACTGGTTCCACTGCCCCGGAATTGACAATCCTGCCGATCTTATTAGTAGAGGTGCTTCTATGAGTATATTGAAGAATTCTGACATTTGGCGGAAGGGTCCACCTTGGTTGTCCCTTCCGACCGAAATGTGGCCAGAATTGAAACTCTTCAAAGAAAATGATGAACAAATTGAGTATCGTAAAAATGAAATCACCGTTATGAAATGTGTAGATGGTGAAGAACTTGAGTTAATAAATATCGCTAACTTTAGCAACCTGGAAAAAGTTGTTAGAATCATAGCGTGGGTAGTGCGATATTTGAAGTGTTTAAAGAAAGTTAAGCAGAATATGGACACTTTGACTGCAGAAGAGCTCCGAAATGCTGAAGATATACTAGTAAAGCTTACTCAAGCAAAATTCTTTGAAAGTGAGATACGAGCTCTCCAATCTAGTTTGGCTATTCCAGCTTCTTCTACTATTTTCAATTTAGCTCCTTATCTTGATGAAGAAGGTATCCTGAGAATCACATGAAGATTGGACGAAGGAGATTATTCCTTTGATGAGAAAAAGCCTATAATCATACCAAGACAGTCTAAATTTGCAGAGTTGCTTGTCAAGCGAGAACACGAAAATGTATTTCATTCTGGAGTAGACAGCATTCTAGTACAAATTCGGAGAAGATTTTGGGTGCCTAAAGGAAGACAATTAGTAAAAAAGGTTGTCTCGAAATGTTCGATTTGTCGCAGATACACAGCCAAGCCTTCCACCCAAATGACTGGACAGCTTCCAAAAGATCGAATTAGTGAAACTCCTGCTTTTACCGTATGCGGAATTGATTTTGCCGGACCAATCTACATCAAGGGTGAAAATGGAATAAAGAAATCATATATAGCCTTGTTCACATGTGCAGTCACGAGAGCAATACATCTTGAATTAGTCACAGACATGTCTACTTCGACTTTTCTGCTCGCATTCAGAAGATTTCTCTCTAGAAGAGGTGGTTGTCATACAGTCTACTCCGACAACGCCAAGACTTTTAAATGTACCAATAAAGAGCTTCAAAGATTATTTGATATTTTGGAAAATGCCGAATTCAAAAACTTTCTTGCTGCTAAGAGAATATCCTGGAAATTCATCGTCCAACTTGCCCCTTGGTGGGGAGGATTTTATGAAAGATTGGTAAAAAGTGTCAAAGAGCCTCTAAAAAAAATACTTCAAAAAGCTCTTTTAAATTTTGAATAGATAACCACTATATTGACTGAAATCGAAACCATCGTTAATCTTTGACCCTTGTCCTACATCACTAACGAAATTGGTGAACCGGAAATTCTTACCCCATCACAATTTTTAACCCTTGGTAAAGAAAAGGCAGAATATCCAGCCCATTTCACAGAAACCATCCATAGAGAATCCACCAAAAAGATTCTTATAAAAAGAAAAGAATACCACGCTACATTATTGGCTAATTTATGGAAGCGCTGGAAAGAGCGCTATTTGTTTAATTTGAGATCTGCACACAACTTTACTTCTCCTAACTTAACAAAATGTTTGAAAGTGGGAGATGTGGTTATGATGGAGGGCACCACAAAATCAAAACTATTATGGGACATAGGTATTATAACAAAAGTATTTCAAGGGCGTGATGGACTTGTAAGATCTTGCCTTATTCGCAAATCCAACGGCGAATATAAACGCCCAGTACAACTTATTTATCCTTTAGAACTCAATGACTGAAATGAACAATGATAATGTTTTTATTTTAATTTTCTTATTAGATTATGTTTTTTTTTATTTTCTTTCAAGTGAATATTTGCATCTCATTTCAAATTTATTTGCATTTAAATGTTATTTTTTTTAAAAATGTTTATGTTATTTTTGTCTAATTTTTATGTTTAAAATTTTAGTGAACTCGGAGGAGTTCAAGTGGGGAGTGTTGAGGATTTATAATAACAGATGGCGCTGAGCGCAAACAATTTTTTTATTATTTTTTCTTCACTTCTTAAGTTTTAGTTTAGATTCAACCCACTGAACCACAATGAAATAAAATCCTTTTTATTATTACAATTTGTGTAATTATTGTTGAATTCGAGTTATGAACAGTTTTAAACTGTTAAAAATAACATTTCTTTTACATATAAGTAGTAGTTACTTCTGAAATATTATTTTAACATGTAAAAATATTTAACATTTAGATTAACGAAATAAAATACCTTTAATACTATCTTCAGATGAACTCTTTGCTGGAGAAGTAGGTGTGGAATCACCACTACTACCTAAGAGAAAAAAAAGTTACAAATATTTTTCTAAAATGAAGAATAGAAAAATTAGGTAAAAGGAGATTTAATTGTAGTAACGCTCCTTAGTTCCAGAGACATGTTTGAAATACAGATCAAAAAATATTTAGGATTTTTCAGATCTAATTTCTAAGTATAAAAACATCAAACCAGAGCAAGATTGAGTGGAGATTACTCAAAAATATATTTAGAGCCATGCTAGGGGGCCAAAAATTTAGAAATGAAAAACTGGTTTTTGTCATTTTGTGATAAAGTTACAAAAATCCATTCTATATTTTGAGTACAAATTTTGAAGCATAGAATCAAAAAATAATTTTGATCATGTTCAATTTAATACACATCTGAATAATGAGATGCTAAGAAAATTTTTACAAGTTCTCCGCCTAATTCTTTAATTTTATCAATTATCTTTTACTTTAAGTCACAGAAGTTTGGTCTTTCAAACTATCTGCAGTCACTTAAAAAAAACAAAAGTTTCTGGGATACTAAAGATGTCTATAAAATAATTAAGTTTAGTAAAAGGTGAAAAAAAAATTTCCAAGGTCTTGTTTTCTTTCACTGACTTAACATTTTTAAAAGAGTTCTTCGTTTTGATAGGGACTAAAAAATACTGCTGTTGCTGCTTTTAAGTATTTTTTGATTACTACTTTAAATTTTATTTCAATTTAAACTTAACTAAACATTTTTTATATTTGTATGTATATTTTATTTTTCAAAATAATAGGTGTTTTCTCCTTCAAATGTTAACAGTTAAAGAGAAAACTAACCTTCATATATCTTCTTTGCTGATATCGTACCAGCTCCTGACGAAATTCTTCCTAGTATTTTGTGTTGATAAAACAGATCAAGAGGTAGCAAGATGTGTACTCAAACCATCTGGTTTTACCACGCTAGTGGGGTAAAACTGGGTACACATGTTAATTCCAAGGAAACTTAGAAATGCTAGAATTTCAGTGAAAAAGTCGCAGGCATTTCTATTGCCCCCACTACTTTGAATTAATTGCCAATATTGCAATATGTTACAGCAATTGCCATTGAACATGAATTTTGATTTTGCAATCAACTCTTATTTCGAATAAAAATAGGGTACGGGCAAAAACAACAGAAAAAGCGGATTCTATCAAATGGCAGATAAGTCTCATTCCTCATTTATATGAATGCAGGGGTCTGTCTAGGTTTTTCTGAGAGGTACCTATTTTGTGAAAATTTAGACATAATTTGTGAAAAATTAAAAATTACATTAAAAAATCAACACAAAAATATGGTAAATATATGGATTTATTGTTTCCTATGGGATACAAAAATAAAATTTTAAGAAAAAGTAATTTGTGAAACTACCGTTCTTCCTACAGTTGAATTTGTGAAGGTACCGCTAAACGGTAGTAAATTTGCCCTGGACAGACTCCTGGAATGCAATAATTGTTTTTCACCAGCGTTGAAAAGAATATATAATATTATAGGTACTATTACTGCATTTAGAAAGGGGTGAATAGTAATTATTTCCCTTTTGCAGTCTGCTAGTCATCATCACATTAAAAAAATTTAAACATCATAACATCTATGGCAGCAACTGCTAAAAAAAAGAACGACAACAAAATCAAGCAAATCATACTTTTCAAAATGGTGTGTTTATAGATCCATTTGTTGTAAATTAATATTGTATTAAAAATATCTGATTTAAAAAACAATGTTGAAATCAATAGCAATGAATGCCAAGAAAATGTATTGAAAAAGCAATAGAATCATTGCATCAAAAACAGGGTGCATAGCCAAATCTCGCAACAAAAAATAAGCAGCATTAAAGTACTTTTCAAGCACTCAAAAATATTTACTACCACTATAACAAAATGCAAAATAATTTTCAAAAACTTTACAGTAGCATGATAAAATAACTAGTTTCTGACAAAGAGCTCTTTTCTTGATTATATTGGCCACCATAAAAAGATAGAGAGATTCTTCGGTCCGATTTCAGAGGAAGGAAAATTAAGCCTGAAATTAATTAAGAGTATCTTGCAAAATGCATCAGAGTTGCACATGAGAGTGTAAGAATCTCACCAAACCCAGCTCAGTAGTCACTCTCAAGTATTTCTTCATATATGTAACATTTGCGCTATCATAATACGTTACAGACCAATGGCACACTGAAATAGATTGTGGTTAAATGAATTGTGAAAATGCTGACTAGAACAATGTGAAAACCATGCTCTTGCATAATACATACCAAAAATAGACATGGTAAAGAAAAAAAATCTCATTTTCAAAAAGGAAAAATTTAGCACTTTTTAATAACACTCAATGAAAAAAGCACCTTTAAGGGCTTTTAAAAAATGAAAATCAAAAATATGCACCATCAAGCACTTTTTAAAAACGTTACACACCATGAAAAAGTAATGTATCATTCAAATTTCCTCATATTGTATGAAATACATTGCGATCGTTAAAAACTATGTTAAAATATAAATACCACATGAATTTACAATACTATCGGCAAAAACTGATCACATCGAAAAGTGATTATTTATATGTGCAATTCAAATTTCATACGTTGTAGTACAATATAAAATGAAAAATACCACAATTTCAAAACCATGAGGAAATGAGAAACATTAACTACTAAAAAAACAGGGGAATCCTCACATTAAAAGTGAATAATCAAATGTGTGATTTAAATTTTGCGTGGCATAATAAAATTGTACTAAAAATATCGAGATTTTAAAAAAAATTTGAAAGTTTACAGCAATAATTGTAAAAAAAAAAGGATTGAAAGCCTTGTTGATTTAAGACACTGAGGCAAATTCAGTGTGCCAAAAAGTGATTACTTAAATGCGCTACTCGTACTTTGCGTGTCGTAATAGTAGTATTTTAAAAGAAATCACTAGAATATCAAAAATTATAACTAAGAAATGAAAGAAATCAGGATTTTAAAAACCAAGTTAGAATTCATAACATTTGTTACCTTTAACGGTATACAAGAAAGGCAATCTTTTGAAAATGATAATAATTTTTTTTTGTTTTCCAAATGAAAAATTTTTCTACAAGAACACTGTAATGCTCTGCTACAATGTCACTGTGATTCTGCCACAGGGTTCATTACTTACATAAATCTTATTTCACATGAAACCACATAACGCTAATTTAAATACTTGCTAGATTTCATGTGATTATCAAACATCATAAAAAAATAGCACTATTAAATATTATCAGGTACTATAAAATGCAAAATCTCAATAAATTAAATTCAATGAAAATAAAAATTCTAGCTAGGATATTACACAATTAAACTTACTCTTTTGGTGAGTCATTTTGCTGATTCGAGACGATTGTTTGACCAATGATACTCGATAGAAATAATTACGCCAAAAGTTCTCTTCATTGATTCTAATGAAGTATAGGTAAAAATCAACACATTTATAAAAGAATACATAATTTACATAATCTAAAAAATTATTCATATGTACAGTAGAGAACCAATTATCCGGGATGCTCGGGACCATCGCTATCCCGGATATCTGAATTTCCCGGTTTTCTGGATCGACCAAAAAGTGTCGTTAATCGATGTTTTATCGAACCCGAAGTATGTTTTATCGAACCCGAAAAGTGTAATGCATAAAGTAAGAGAAAAAAGAAAGGTACTCCTAACTTTAAAAAGAAAAAAAAATGTTAGAAATATAACATTTAAAAGAATAAAAAAATTTGCAAGTTTAGACAATAAAATAAAGTTTAAAAAATACAAAATTCTCATATTTATTTTTTAAAAATAATTACAATTCCTAAATTAAATAATCTAAACAAAACCAATGATTAAACAACGCAAGATAATTATACGGGGGGAAACGATAAAATAAAAGGAAAACTTATTAATCTAAATAAAAACACTTGAAAGTTATCGAACCGAAATGATAGTTAAAAAAGGCACTAGCATAAATATTAAAACCCGGAACAAGGCAAAAACAACGGAATTCAAAAAAAAAAAAAACCTAATGATAAAATTTATGAATAAAAAGAATTAATTTATTGAGTGCGAAATTTATCGCGAAAAGAAAAAAAAATCAAACGTAGTGGAATCAGAAAAACAAAACTGCAATCTGCTTCATAAAATAATCCTATGTTTA